TAATCTTTAATTTTTGCGCATACCTATAAAAGTATATTTATATATGTAGATTGTTTCTGTATCGATTGAGGTAACTAGTATAATTTAACACACTGCAGAGGCCCAATGAAAATTTTGCATTAAATAGTTATAGTTAACATGAATAATTTTCGAAAGATGTTTGGATAAAATCCAGGTTTTGAAAAAAAATATATTTCTAAAAATCTTCATTAGTCTACCCCAGCGAGTACACTTATACTAGTTACCTCGATCATTTCAGCCACGCCTTAACTCCATATGTGGTGCTTTAGATTTTTATGATTAATCCATTATTTTTATTATTATTACGATAGTAAAGTTATTATAGTAATAACTAATACCAATGTTCTAAGAACTCAAAGATTATTTTCTCAGTTTAATTAGAAATTAAATATTCAAATCTCAAGAAAATAAGTACATATTGTTTTTTTTTTCAGACGTACAGGATACGATACATGGTGAATACCCGTTTATACATTATATAGATTACATAAGTAGGTACATTATATGGTGGCTTTCTAAAAGAAAATATGAATTTTTAAATATTTTAATGATCAATGTACACATATGAACCACCCTCAAATATAACCTTGTTAAAAAGGATATATACCAAAAAGGGCTCTAATAATTTTGCTTACAAAACACGTCCTTGTGTTTTTGTAGTTATTTCGAGTATAACGCAAAATAAATTTAAAAAAAAATTGTTCGATTTTATACAGCCTACGTTTGAACGTAATAATAAATTAATGGGAGTGTTAAAAATTAAAATACACAAAGTTTAATTAGGTGTAGGTATGTTTACATACGGATTCGACCGAATGGTGTTCATCCGGGCTTATTTAAAATAGGTTGTTCTGTAAATTACAAATGTGTAGAATGTATAATATATTTATTTACACTAACGTACTGTTGTATGTTTAAGTACGTAAACACAACAACGCTCTATGCACATACATACATATACCTATTTATATTCTATTTTATTTCGCATGAATGAATACTGGGCTCCGATGAGCTCTACTGGGCTCCGTTTGCACTTATAGATTGAATAATATATAATGGTGGACTCGTAGTAGCGCGCCAGTGTGTGCATATCTGGATGTAAAATAATTTGTTTTAACTCGAAGAACGGATGAATTTTGAAACGTCAAGCATTAAATCTATTAAATAGTTTCAGACCACCTGAAATATTTTATGTACGTTCTCAGGTGGCAGATGTGTTACCGATTTAAAAAAAATAATTTTAAGGCTTATATTATAAGAAAATACATTTTGATTTCGACTGAAATTATTTGTTTGCCTCTAAAAATTTTTAAATTCGATTTTTATTTAGTAAGAATTTGAAATTCCAATTAAAATGTCTCCTAATGTTATAAAATAGACTAAATTAATCATAAGACTTCACTTTGCCAACAATTAAAGTCACAGTTTAAAATTATAAAATCTCGCTTTTGCTCGTTTTCCTCTTAGGTTAAATTTTATATAATACTCTCCGATTAATTAAATATGTATACATACTTATTCACACGTTCATTATCTTATGAACATATCGCGTGCGCTCAACTCGTAAGTTTAAAACATTGTTAACGAAAACGTTCAGTCATGTTTCACGGGTGCAGGTCATAATATATTCTTATCATTGAATTCGACAATAAGTCAATTAACTCAAATGTATAGTAAACTAAAGCCCGAGCACAATATGTATAGACTGGTACAAATGGCAAATGCACTATGTGTGTACAACAGACGAATATATAAAATAATACAGTGTAACTCGTAACAATAACGCAATAATAATCCAAAGTGTGACGAAGCGTCAATAACAAATGATTTTTAGTAAACATTTTCATAATTTTTCTTCGTCACAAACATATTTATTATGTTAATTATAACTTATATACTTGTTTATGATACACGAAGTGTTGTAGGTAAATTATTTTTTTAAAACCCGTGATTACCCATCTCTATTATAGTGTGACCACTAAGTAACGTCTTATGCCATCCATTTACGTACCGTGGCATATGCAATCGTATAAAATACTAAAAGGTAAGCGAGTTAATAAAAAAAAAAAAGTTAAAAAAATGGTGTTAAATCATCTCAAGAACGTTAAGTTATAAGTTGATAGTTAATACTATGTTTATTAAATATTAAAAATTGGTGTTCATAGTCTCAAAGTAATAATTTAAATTTGTCAAAAAAAGAAATTCGTTTATTTTTTAATTTACACCTTGGCCACAAAACTAAATTATGCTTTTTTTTAATATTTAATCCATAACCAATTATTTTGTTTAAACATCCATCATAGTAATGTATGTATCATGTGTGTATTGCAGTATTAACGAGCAATAGTATTTATTGTAGGTAAATAACTAGGTACTCCACGGCGATGATATATAAATAATGATAACCAGTGGTGTATATAGGGGAGGGCTTGGTGGGATAAAGCCCCCCCACCCCCGAAATGTTTTAAAAATCGTAAAAATTATTTTAAACGTATGTTATATTTTAATGGTGCTTTATGCTTATTTAGAATTTGCATCCAACGTCAAATCGTTTTGGAACATTTTGTAAATGAAATGTAGATAAGTACCTACTGGGTCGTGTTAGTAATTCTTAGATAACAGTGGTAATTTAACTAATTTAACTCTGTTCATAGTAACCCCTCTCGAAAATATTTTCTGTATATGTCACTGATGATAACGAATTCCCTAAATCCCTAAATTTTTGATTTCAATTGAAATGGAGTACACTTATTCTAATGTATTTTTTTTATTGCAACATTATAGAAGCTTCTTTTACTTTACATTTGGGGGATAAGAGTTTAAACTCTTCCTTTTTTTAGTTGAAAATCAAACCCGGATGATACATACCATCATCCGAGTTTACATTAATTATACATTGTCCACAATGTTACATGAGCTTACATACATCACATATTACACACAATGTTCTTTTAAGAAAATGTAGTTTTTCGATGTTTTTGAATAATATCACGAAAAATAGCAATAAAAAAAATGTATATAACTATCATTGCATTAAGTTCAGTCCATTATAAATATACCCTACAACTTTGTTGATCTTTTAATAAACAATGATATATTTTTTAGATTGAATACATAAAAAGCTAATTTAATTTATTGAAAATTTTATTAAAATAAGCCATTACTTTTATAATCTGTAAACTATAAGTATACACTATCGGATAGGTTAGTTTTTATTCTCAGTAAATATATATTAAAATGTAAGTAGGTACATTTAATATTAATATACTATTGTTATATCTTAAATATAATATTACAGTAATTTCAGAACACGCATAAACTAAACATTATATAATAATAATTTATACGGGAATAATGAATGGAGAAAAAGCAATCTTTTCTATAGCAATATTTTTATATGCTACGTCGAGTATAAATAATGATTTTAAACGATTTTTGAAAAATAAATTGTACTACTACAAAAAACATTATTACATAATTTCTATTTCTGCAAGTTATACATACATCGCAGACATTGTATATAATGTACATAATATATGCTTATTTACCCGTATATTTTACATTATGTAAATTTAGCCGTTATCGGACATAGTACCTTGTTCATCTTTAACCACACTACACAATGGTATAGTTTCCAAGACAAAAACGTAATTTTTTGATTTTAGATTTTGATTTAGGTTTACTAAATCTTGTAAATGGACGAATGGAGAGATAAAATTAAAAAAAAACACATATCACGGTAAGACCAGAATACTTTTCAAAACTTTCCATTTTCCGATAACTTTAACAGTTTAAATCCGTCGCACTATTGAATCATGACTGTCCACTGAAGCTACTGATTGGCTGGTACACATATAGTTATTGGCTATTTACATTTTAAACACGTGGCTCGCGTATGTTACTTTCAATGTATAAATACATATGTCTAGATCAGCGACTGTGAACTGTCGGCACGCAACACAAGAGCGGATCTATAGTTGGAGAACTGTGGGTCAGGCTATTTTAAGAGGCCACTTGTTAGACCTGAAACTGGATTGTTATAGTATATATTGTAACAAAAAAAAAAAAAAATAAAATATGATCATAGAATATGTGTTTTTAAGTTTATTTATGATCATCATTGGAATCATTAAAATTTATTTTAGTTTATGGAGGATTCCGGCAAAAAGATGTTTAACTGTAATGTAGAATTAAACCAGTTGCGTCGATTGGAGGGTGGCAACTGGGCCATCTTCTCCAGTTTTGTATTGACTTCAACCTATAGTCAGCACCAGTGATGCCCAGCTCTTAAAAAAAGTACTATTGTCAAATTTATTTTCAGAAGGTTCCACCCACCAAAAATGTCACTTGTCAGTATAATGATAAATAAATAATAGGTTATAATTGTTACATTGTAAAACTAATCTGTTGTTAAAAACGTGAACGTTATTATTACACTATTATAATATTACTTCATGACACTATCTATAAATAACGTATACGTTATACGAGCAGTCCCTCAATGTCCTAATGAATATTGGGGCTAGACCCCTAGGACCGCCCGCCCCATTTAAGCTATTGTTTTAACAACACTTGTTGGGGGGGGGGGGGGTTTGGCACTATTGGTCGACACACTTAAATGTATAAGAAGTCTTCAACAGATATTAAATATGGGTCATCTGACCTCCTATTACTTATTGTATTAGTTATGTCCAATGTAGGTACTCTTTAAAAATCTGACCTTCTGAACCCACCCCTCCTAAATTCACCTCTTAAGTCGGATACGCTACGGTAGCACCTCAACGGGAAAACATTCTACACCTTACCGGTGTGCTGACGTCTGACGGCAACGACTTTATATCGGTGAGATAATTTTTTTGACGCGAATACTGTACTCAGGGAATATTAACGCGACGGCCATGCTGCTGATACGCGTTATCAGACGACCGCATCTGCGTGATAGTAGACCGGATTAAGACGATAAAGATAATCGCAACCCGGTGTGATAACATTAGCAAAGTCTTCTAAATTAATGATTTTCCGAATGTTTTTTTTAATTGTTTTTTAATTTTTTATTCTTACACTTTTTTTTTTCCGTTCGGCCCACCCATATTCTTAACCGAGATTCCGCGGTGTAAAATGAGTCGTGATGTCGCATTCGCAGCACAGGTCGAACATTGTCGGACAACGACACGAGTGTCCACCACTGGGACGCTCAACATTTCGGTCAGTCGAATTGTTTGCCACAATTACTTAATTACTTTTATGTCCCTACACGACGTACGGACAAATCAATTGCGCGCCGCCTTGAACGCCTTGACGTGTGATACAATCCATTAACGGTTTTAACTTTGACTTTCACAGATGACCAAGCCCGACGCACGGTGATCTACGCACAGTAGCAATTGTATATCATGGAAGACTGGATGGCAGCATTAAAGGTTACAGCCAGTAGAGATCTTTTAAATCAGGTAAGTGCTTACTGGATCTAAGCTTTGTTTCAATGGTTCTAAAAACTTAAATTTCAGTGATCGTTAAGGTGCCGATCTGATAAAATATACTTGTGAAATAATTTTTGTATGGTTTGATAAAGTAGTTTTCTCTAATGATAAATTTTCATTTTACATATCTTATGAACAATAATGTAAAACAATGATTCGTCTTATAAAAATTAACAAATATTAAAAGACTGAAGACTACTTATTTCGATTAAAATTTATCCATATTTCAACACTTATGACACATTTTCAATTATATTATATTTTATGAATAAATTTATTTTATTTTATGTATAATATAATTTGATAATTAAAAATATTTTATCTATAATATTGAATATTAATGCTCTTGCCTCTTATGGATAATAATTTATCTATAAAGTTCTGCTTATAAAATTAAAATGTTTTTAATATTTTAATACTGTATTCAGTGGCGTACTTACGGGGAGGGTGTAAGGGGTTTCCACCCCCCCCACAGATTTTTTTTTTTAATGATATTTGATTATTATTTATTAATATTTATATATTATAGTAAAATATTTTGATTTTACTATGATTAGGTATATATTAAAAATTGAATAACAAAATAATTTTCATTAATATGGGACCTAATAACACTATTTTAAATGTAATATTATATATGATCTCGTTTTAAGATATACTACGAAAACTTAAAAACTTACTCTTAAACACCCCCCCCCCCCCCCCCAAAAAAAAAAGAATTGTATCTACGCTACTGACTGTATTCCAATCAATTATCATTAAAAATTGGCTTTGATTTTAGGTATGTATCTAAAATAATTTTAATATAAATGCTTTTTAAGAAAATTGAACTAAAAATAACTAGGTACCCAGTATTAAATTATTGACTATTATTTTATGTTTTGACACTAAAATAAATTTTTATGTCTAGCCAATTGGTGTAGATTTAAATGATTTACTGTCTGGAAACCATTCATGGCATGCAACATCTCATGCTCGTCCAACATATTGCAATATCTGCCGAGAACAGCTATCAGGTAATTTTAATATATTTATATATTATTTTATGTTTGTTATTATTATTATTATTTTTTTTTTTTTATTTGTGAAATATTTAGGTGTAACATCGCATGGATACAGTTGTGAGGTATGCAAATGTAAAGTACATAAAAGATGTGTAGACAAGGCAATCAGCAACTGCAAGTGGACTACATTAGCAAGCGTTGGAAAAGACATAATTGAAGATAACCATGGGGTAATAATTATTATTAATTAGAATACTTAAAATATAGTTATTATTATTTTTTTTTTTTTTTTTTTAGACAAACAATTATAATCGGATTTATAAATAGGACTAAATTATAATTTTCAGTATTATTGAAAGCTGTTTTTTCTTAATACACTAAATTTCACTTAATATAGTAACATTGGATCCATTTACTCACATTAATCATTTACCCATAAAAACCAAAACGAGAAATATAAGCACTTGCATTTTTATTTTAAAAAAAGTATATTTCATGTGACATGCATACCTTAAAGTTTAAATAATAATGCTAAATAAAGTAATAAAATACATAAAATAAATGTCTACCATATGCTTCTTTCAATTTGACATTGTGTCTATTCTCTCACCTACTTAACTAAAAATCAGTGACAATAAACTGTTCGTATAACCATTTTTTTGTATGAACTTTTCAGGTTTGAATTAGCCCAAAAATTCAAAAATCATATTTTTTTTTTCAATAAAAACCATTTACTTAAAGCCTCATAAATTCTGGGATTTTTTCTTTCCTTTTAGATTTTCGACCATATGTTTGACTGGAATTGAAAGTCTGATAAAAAATATTGTGTTTAAGAAATTTTCTAATGATTGACTTTGGAACACATTGTTTGATATTTTTACTTAATGTAAAATGTCATGAATAATAATATCATATTAAATGTCTAAAATCACGGTTTCTTTTCACTTGCAAATTTATTTGAGGAATATGTAGTTTATATTAAATATTATGTAATAAGCCTTTTAATAGTATTTTAAAATACTTTTTAAAAAGTTACGATTTTTTATTTTTTATTATTATTTTTTTTTTTGACGTAATTTACCTGATGATGAATTTTTCATTTGAAACCGATCATTCAATACAGATATCTTAATTAAAGTATTAACTTTAAGCTACGCTTTATTTATATGTATATTAAATATTTATGTTTTAGAATATTTTAATGATACACCAATGGATGGAAGGAAATTTACCTGTGTCTTCTAAGTGTGCAGTCTGTGATAAAACTTGTGGATCTGTTTTAAGGTTTATATTAATTTGTGTTTTATTGAATATTTATTAACTTATCGGGTTTAGAAATACCAATATGGTTTATTTATTAATATTTATTTTAATTTTAGACTCCAAGACTGGAGATGCTTATGGTGTAGAGCTACAGTACATACTGCATGCCGCCCCAAGCATTCTATTAAATGCCCATTGGGATCTAATAGACTAAGTGTGGTGCCACCAACGGCCATACATTCTGTTGGTAAGATATAGTTAGTTTTTAATTAACTAATATTTACTATTAATACACAACTACTAACTTATTTTATATTTTCAGGTAGTGATGATTCTTTAGAAGCAATTCAACCACATGGATGTTCACCATTATTAGTGTTTGTTAATTCTAAGTCAGGTGACAATCAAGGTGTAAAATTTCTCAGGCGATTTAAACAAATTTTAAATCCAGCCCAAGTGTTTGATCTCATTGGTAATGGCCCTGGACCTGGGTAATTAAATTTTGAAATTTTAATTCATAGACATATTACATATTTCTTCTTCTTATTATTATTATTATTTTTAATTTTCAGGTTAAGATTATTTAGGCATTTCAATCCATTTAGAGTATTAGTTTGTAGTGGTGATGGTTCTGTTGGATGGGTACTTTCTGAAATTGACAGACTAAATATGCAGGTAAAATTGATCTATTAACAAATTTTAAATTATTAATGTACTAATTATTATTGTATTTGTATACCAGGTGCAATGTCATGTTGGTGTATTACCATTGGGTACTGGAAATGATTTGGCTAGAGTATTAGGTTGGGGTGCATCTTGTGATGATGATGCTCATTTGCCACAAATACTAGACAAATATGAACGAGCCAGTACAAAAATCCTTGACAGGTTAATAAATACATGATAAAATTATATACTTTTCATCACCTTAATTGCACATTCTAGATGGAGTATAATGGTGTATGAGCGTAGCATTGATATAGGTAGTGGCACTAAACTCACAATGAATTCTGGGGTACAAGAGGGTATTAGTTTAGAATCAGCCATATCCACTTACTACAATTATATTATGTCAAATTTGAATCTTATTTTACAATCCAATGAACACGAAGCAATTGTTAATATGGCTAAGTTAGTACATTTTGTAATATTATGAATCTATTAGTATCTGCTTAAATTTACCATGTATTTTTAGAGTTTTATGTGGTACTGTCAAAGATTTTATTGTATGCATATCAGAAATTAGTAATGGTATTGATGATTCTGATTTTAATGATATGCGACAAGATTTAAAGTATAAATTAGATACGCTTTTACAACTTCTCCAAAAAGAAGAGTTCAAAACTACATATCAACCAAAAAATGTAATTTTTTTAATAATTTATTTAAACTGTTTGTGTACTCAGGATTTTGATTTAATATGATTTTTCATTGACATTTAGGAAACAAATCAAAATAATTTGACTAATAGTAATGAAGAAAATGCTCACATTGATATTAATGAGATAAGTAATAATAATGTAAAATACAATGAAATCTCAGCCATTAAAAAAGTAAGACTTTTAATCTTTTTCTATTTATTCGTATTAATATAAATTTTTAAATTACTTATTTTTAAGGTGTATAAGAAACAATTACTCGAAAGAGCTAATAGTCTTAAAAAATCAGTTACAAAATTAATTGAACATTCTGGCAAGACAACTTGTTCTACAAATATTTTAATTCCACTTCCTGTTTCACAACTGGTATGTAATATTGATTTTGTTAGTCATGACTAGGGTAGAGAAATTGTAAATGTAAAATTGGTAAAGTGTGTATATAAAAATTCATAAAAAAATTTTAAATATGCTTTAAATCACTTTTAAGCGGTAAAAATTATTTTATATGCCTTAATAATATCCATTATAAATATACATGTATATATTTATAAATTAGGTGCTGAAATATAGCTAATATCAGTATATTAAAATAAATAATTTTTTTACATGAAAAATTGATCTTTATGTCAATAAAGATTACGTATACTTAAGAATTATTTTTCTTCCATTTCGTTTTTTTTTATTTTTAATAAATTGTGTTTAACATATTATACATGATCACTGGTTTGAATTTGGTCACTAGTGATTTTTATTTTTGGAATGGATGACTGTCTCAAGAAAAAAAATACCCATCCCCTCAAATTTCAAATCCTTCATAAGAATTATTATGTATTTAAAAAAAATTATATTAAATTCTTAATTAATTATATATTTTTTTCAACCAATTCTCTATAAAATATGAAAAATTTATTTTTAAAAGATGCTTTAAATAACTTATGTATTTTTGATAAAAGTGATCAAAATATTAAAAACAAAAATATATATCTCAACCTAAAAGTACATGATCTGAATTTGTATCTTAATTTACTATAAAATTATAACATGGAATATAGTGACATTGTACTATAATTTATCTGCCCTTACTTTAACTCATTACTTATTCATACTGAATTATTATGAAACTGTTTCAGCCATCACCTAGCATTGACAACAATCTTAACCTTGAACAATTAACTCCCACATCTATTGCTAATCCAATATCTATTTCTCCGATACCTATGCTTAGAAGAAACTCATCAAATTCAACAGAATTAAATGTTGAATCATTACCTGCACCTGTAGAATTTGCTGACTGCCGTCAAGAAATAGTGATGGATGATCAGAATGCAGTGTATGTTAATTTTTGTTATAATCTTAAAATATTTATTGATTTTATTAAATATGTATTACGTTATTAATAGGCTGTCAGAAGAAGATACAAGTACATATCAAACTTCACAATATGATGATTTGAATAGTTATTGCCAAATATATGAAACTGATAAATTAAAAAATGAAAGCAAAGACCAAATTAGTGAACCATTAAAAACATATCCAGCATCTAAAATAAGCGAAGAAGAATTTTTAGGAAATATTTATCATATTGATTCGTCTGAAGCATCTGATGAAATACCAGATAGTTATATATTGTGTGATAATAAATGTCTAGCCTCTTCGTCCCGTTACAGTTTTCGTCAAGCATGCAAAGGCATGTTTTCTCGTCATAACCCTAAATTTAATTTTGGTGTGAATGAATGTATGGAGTCTGACATTGATGCCTCAAATTTAATATCTTCATCACCAGAAGATGAAGTTAGTGAAGACCTTCATAAAGAACTCGGAGTCAAGGATAATAATTTAAAAAAGTGTAGTTTAGCACATTTCATAGAGGGAAATGATATTGCAAGAAAGTCAATTAAATGTCGTCATCTTAATAAAACTTACAGCGATATGGAAGTCGAAACAGAATTAAGACTTAAAAATAATGAAAATGATCAAGAAAAGTGTAATGTTATGATGGGTTTAGCAGTACCTAATGAATCAAATTTGATTCCAAATAAAAATGAAATAAATGTCAGAATTCAAGGTTCTAATGGTAATTTAAGTACAAATGGTGACCATTCATGTCAACTACAAAATTCTAAGCTTGGGAACGATATTGTTTTTGATATTAATGATAATGACGATGAATTAAATAGTTTCAAAGGATTAAAAAGAAGTCAAACAATGGCTGGTCCAGCTGTAGTAATAAATCCACCATCTCCTCAAAATTTCTCACCCAATAAGATTTGTGATATCGAAGAATCACATTTAGACTGTAGAAGAAATAGTTTTGATAGTTGTCGAAGACGTAAGTATAGACATTTAATTTAACTACTGTCCTATTACTTAATTCCTAATTATTATTACTGATTTATTTTGTAGTTTCTGCAGCATCACCTGTCATGTTAAGTGCTTCACCTTTACGATCTTCTCATAAAATTTCTAGTAGTACAGCATTAAATACTCGGAATCATTCTCCTACCCCATGCTCAATACAAAATGATACATCACTTAAACATAACAAGCGTTTACCCATCATCAACCCACTCGTCACTCTGCCTACTTGGCCTAGTAAATATAATTATTTTAAAAAGTAATAATATTACTTATATTCATTCAATAATTACTTTTATTATACTTAAAATAGATGTAACAGAAACGAGTTTAATAAGTCAAGTATTATTAGCAAATGCAGATGCTCTATGTGCTCCAGCTGTGCCTTTGATGGACCCTGATGAAACATTGCTGTAAATTTAAAAATAGTTAAAATTTATAAATACAATAATAATACCATTTTATTTTCAGGGAAGGATTTTTCGAAAAATGTATTATGAATAATTATTTTGGAATTGGCATAGATGCTAAGATATCACTAGATTTTCATCATAAACGTGAAGAACATCCTGAAAAATGTAGATCACGAACACGAAATTACATGTGGTATGGAGTTTTAGGGAGCAAGCAATGGTTGCAAGTAAGTACATATATATATATATATATATATATATATATATATATATATATATATACAAAGAAACATTTTGAATTTAAATAACTTTTGTTTTTACTTTAAGAAAACTTATAAAAATTTGGATCAAAGAGTACAACTGGAATGTGATGGACAAAGAATTCCACTCCCTTCATTGCAAGGAATTGTAATACTTAATATTCCAAGGTAATAGATAAAATTACATTTATTAATATACAAGTATATAAGTTATTAATTTATTTTTTTTTTTATTTTTTTTTTTTATATTTAGTTTTATGGGTGGTACCAATTTTTGGGGTGGTACAAAAGAAGATAGAGTTTACTTAGCTCCAAGTATTGACGATAGGATATTAGAAGTAGTTGCTGTTTTTGGAACTATTCAAATGGCTGCTTCGCGTTTAATAAACCTGCAGCATCATCGAATTGCTCAATGTACCACAGTACAAATAAATATTATGGGTATGTGTATTTTATTTTATATTAATTATTACAAATATATTTAAACTTCAATTTAAGGAGAAGAGGGAGTACCAATACAAGTAGATGGTGAAGCATGGGTACAACCACCTGGAATGATACGTATAATTCACAAGAACAGAATGAAAATGTTATGTAGAAATAAAGCTCTTGAACTGTCTCTGAAGTCTTGGGAAGAAAAACAGAAACAAATCAAACACCAAAATAAACGTACTCATAGCCAGTCATTGTGTAGATATACTCCATTAAGCCAAGAAGAATGGACGATTTTACAAGGCTTTTTGGAAGCTACCACAAATTTAATTGAGTAATTATCTGATTTTCTATTTATAATTGATTATTAAATTTACTAAAAATATATTAATATATTGTCTAGACTCATAAGAGAAATATTATCAAAACAAAAATTAGTCAAAGGAGATGAACTAAAAAAACGAATGGACTCGACTAATAATAATATTAAAAAAATCAGTATTATTGAACATGAAACAAAGGAAGTATGTATTAATAACTTATCAATTATAAAGATTTTTCTGTAGTTAAATATTTATTTTATTTTTAGAAGGAATTACGATCAGTAGCTTCAGATATTGTTTTAAGTACAAAATATTTACATGAAGAAACCTTAATTATGATCAGGAGTGCAGGAAATGTTAGTATAATTATTAGTGTTATAAGTATTGGATATTAATTTACTATACTAATTAATAAATTATTCTCTTTAAGGTTTTTGATGGAGAATTTGTAGTCAAACTTACTTTGGCATTCAGCAGACTAGAAAATGAGTTCAAAAAATGTTTGATATCTTGTAAGGACTCAGATAGTGACAATGAATCATCATCTTCCTATGTTTACTTTCTGAACAATGCTTATGAATCGGTAATATAAACATGAAATGTATAGAAATTGTTATTAATTACTTATTATGTTTTATGTTATATAATATTATGCCAATTTTCATTATGAAAAAATTGCATTTTAGAGTTGCTCTTATTTTATGAAAATGCAATTTATAATAACACACTTTTATTATTGTACAATGTATATTTAACTAATTGTGTTTTTAACTTAGGAAAAATTATGCCGGAAAGGACAATTTTGGCAGAAGTTATGGAAAGCTAATGTGACATCTTCAAAACGGCTTAATCATGATGTATCAAATTGGAGTACTGTGGAGGTAGGAATTTGGCTAGAATCTGTACAATTGGGTGAGTATATCGAAGTATTTGCCAACAATGATATTCGAGGCAAGGAACTGTTGAACTTATCAAGGCGCGACCTCAAAGAAATTGGTATGACCAAAGTAGGGCATTTAAAACGTATACTTATGGCTGTCAAAGAATTAAACACTGTACATGAACATCATTAATAGTTAAAAAGGTGAAATATTAACTTTTAGGGTTTATGTACTCACACTTGTAAATATTTTTTTTATTTTATTTTTTTGTGTTTTTCATGGAATATGTTATTTTGGTACATTTGTACCATGAAAATACATTGTTAGATTATAGTGGATGATTTCTCAAACCACCAGGACTGTTATGAGCTTATCAAAGCTAATATTTAAATTAAATTTAAAAAATTATGAAATCATTAAATTATAAATTGAGAACAAAGATATTTATTTTTATATTTCTAAGCTTGTAGGAAATATAACTATTTCTAATTTTGGTTTTTTATATATTTCAATGTGAACAATGTAAACTAAATATTTTAATTTATTGTTTAAAAATCAGCTATGTAGTTTTAATATTTTAATTTAGTTCAATTTTTTTTTTTTTTATGAATCTCAGTCATTCTTTTTTCAAACACAGATTCAACATTTTTCGTTTGCATAATAATTGCATTGTTTTAACATTATTTATAGATATATAATCTTTACATTCATTTTTAGTATTTTTATAATATCATATTAATAATTTACATCTCTAGGAATGTGCAACCTACAATTTTAAATTTGATCTGTTCTCTTAATAAATGTGATTAGCTTAGATGTAGAACATTATTAGCTATTACGTTTGTGGGTAAATAATACTAAAATTAAAACAGGAAAGCCAAAGACTTATTCTATTTGCTCTATTTAACTTGTCTATTTCCCTATCTTCTAGTAACTAAGTGCCAAACATTTATTACTTTTAAATCTTTCAATTCTAATAATGTTTGTTTATGTTATCCATACATTTTATAATTCTATATTTAAAAATTATTAAGTACATACAATTTATTAATTCAATCAATCTTTTTAGTATAACTAATGAATTAAAAAAAAAATTAAAAAAACACTTAAAAATATATTTAATAAAAATATATTTTTGTTACATACTCATTTTTTAAACTTAACAGTGTATATTCATTTTATTAACGTTTAATTATGAAGTGATTTATATTGTGATACGATCAACCTAAGATAAAAACTAATCACCATTGGGAATAATATAATATATTATAATATAGTATAACGACCATCATTTTTAGACAAATAATCTTTTTATACATTGTGGCTTTTAATACTTTTAATCTGTATGTTTTTCAGTTCATTTTTCACTAATATTGTACCAATGATATTTATTGATCTACCTTGTTTATTAACAAATCATGAATAATAATATACTTAATGCTTTAAAAGTTATAAATTAATTACATAATAATGAAGTATAGAAAATATTTGAAAAAAAATTGATGGTCGGACAAATTAAAATAGATTTGAATTCAATATTATGTACTGATTAGTGATATAATAATTAAAGCCATTGATGTGTTTCAATATTCTATTTTAAACTATTAACTTATCTATATTATATAAGGTGTCGTAACCTACAATTTTGTTAACAAATTTTATTACTATTATTAATATTATTATTATTATTATTATTATTATTATTATTATTATTATTATTA